CGAGTCTTTATCTAGTTAATTTTATCATGAAAATCTATATAAAAATAAATTTTATTAATTTTATTATTTGTTTGGTACCTATACGGTAGTTCTAAAATCCAGTTGTATAATTCCTCTGACGTGTTCAAAATAGTAAAAAGAGATATAAATCTAAATCTGATTTTGTCGATCGTGAAATGCGATTATTTGCGTTTTACAAAAAAATGATATCTTTTGTGCCGATCTGACGTGCGATATAACAGATGTTTCGTATGTTTATGTCGAACAATGAGCAGATTTTCTCTACGCATAAATACACTTCAACAAGTCTCTCTTTTGAAACCGCATAAGGATTAAAATTGAGTGAAGTGAGAACCGAAAAATATTTACAGACCGGTATTATTTCGGACATTGCGCGGAAGGAAAATAAGTACAGAGTGTACGACAATGCAAATTTAATACGCACAGAAAAAAGATCAATGTCTAAAGTTGTTTTGGTTTATAGTCTGACAGACATCTGCCTCTTTGTATATTTAACAGTATAGAAAGGATGTCAAACTTGAAATTGCATCGAAGCAAAGCCCGAAGTTCATAGGTTTCATATACCTACATCCTAATAAATAAATGGGATCAAAAGTATGAAAGAGGGAATTCTAATAAAATTTTACTGTACCATAGCAGTCGTTATTCAAATTTCACTAAATAAAATTATTAAAAAAAATTTTATATATGTTTGTAAAATCGATTCAGGATTGTGGGATAAAACTTGGACAAATAATTTTACCCTTTTTTGCTAATTATAAGAGCACGGCTCGTTGTGCAAATCATCTAGTCCTCATTGAGTTACACCAAATGGTTTTTACATTTTTGAAATTGGTTCAGCCGTTTTTGAAAAAACTTTGACGAAAAATTACAAATGGGCACACGTAAACTGACAAACACATACTTTTCCAAATTTGATCACATGCGATTCAGAATGACTTGAAACGTCGAGGAAACGTCAAGATTAGCAAATCGGATTTTCTAGCGAAAACATGAATATTGAACATTTGAACGTCTTCAAGAAGTTAATGATGTAACTACTATATTGATTTTTATGAAATAGGGGTGAATATTTAGGATTAATGTATAAAAAATAATTGGTCTAAAAAATGAAAAAAATCTTCGGGGTAGTCAATCCTTATCACTTGATTTCAATTAAAATATGCTCTTCCTTGGGATATACCTTATAGTTTCCCAAATTTTACAGAGATTGGATGTATAATTTTTTTGAATGCACAATGACCAGGCAGACAAATTTATTCTCAATTATTTATTATAGCAATTTAATGTTCATTATGCTATCAATATGGCAAAAATATAGTTCACAATTTCTTATTTTTTTGAACCATCCACCGCAGGTTCGACAACTTTTTCTAAATATAATTGTATTTTGATAAACCGTGATAGAGTATTGAATATCTCTCAGAGTTTATTTGTGCGAAATATGTGATGCATGTTGAGCCCGGATTACCAGAATTGCCAGCTCAGATTTGCGACGGCAAAGTAAATCATATCATAATGCCAAACCTTTTTACGAGACAGTTAAACCAGTGACAGTTGACAACTTTTTGAAATGAGATTGGAGAATTGAATAGAGAATAAATCAATCCATCTTTAATGAAACTTTTAGTAAAATATATAGTGCTATTGCAAGGTATTAGGCACGTTGAGCCATGTCAAAACGTCTGTGTAACATGATCAAATATATTTAATTTTATTTATATATATAGGTTTTTCAATATATTTGGTGACTTTAGCATTATATAACTTATCAAATTAAATAAAATTTTGTAACAATAATATTATTAAATTTAATTTGTGATGAGTAATTGTTTGCTGCTTCGCACTTCTAAGAAATATTTAAGTTATTTTTTATTACATAGTAATCGCAAAAAATCGAAAATGAAAATTTTTGCATATCAGTGGTTTCTAAATAATTTTGCGGACCTTATGAAAAATGTATGTATGTGTGAGCGCGTTTATGTATGTGCGGATACAGTTTTCCGTACAATGATTTAAAAAACGTTCGATCTCAATAGACAGGAAGACTGATTAGTTTTTGCCAAAGGCAGGTCCAGCCGTTTCAAAGATATGGGACAGTAAGTGCAAAAAATGGCAATACTGTTTTTGAGAGAACAAAGCGTTTGATTACTGTAATATTGACTATTAAAAAAAAATTGATGTACCTATACAAGTGTATAAGTTTGATTTAATTATATTATAAGAGTCAACTGTCTTTCAGTCATCTCACAAGGTTATTTCTCTGCTCCCGAACATCAAGACAGTAGCAATGAAAAAGCATCTTGAAGACCGACAAGAAATACCACCAAAGTCATTCAAATTACTATCAAAAATTCCGTAAAACGGCGCTGCATAATCTAAAATTCCTTTTCCATGTGCTATCTGTCAACTACGTGCGATAAACAGAAAATATACTAACAAGTAGTTTACGAAAGTCAAACGGGAACGGGAAGCCATATCAGAAAACGCTGTTGGGGATAAGTGTTGTCGGAAGGCAATAAAATAAATCGAAATGTCTTCGGCGAGACGACAGAGGAGACCAGACTAATGTCCAATTATCTCGAAAAATCAAAACCAATTACCCGCGAAGACCTCTGCTGTGTCACATATGTCAGTCGTAATCAATGGCGTGCTACGCAAATAAAGCGCGCATATACTAAACTTGAGAACAGGAACGATAAAAATCTTTGAACAGTTTTATATGCACCAGATGCAGGAAACATTTTTAATCCGATGTATTCAATAAACATTTAATAAAATAATGCCGTGCGTTTCCAAACTGCGGGCCCGCCACCTCGTGAGGGGAAGCAGACATTTCGAAAATACTATTTTCGAAAATTTTGATTTTGAAATTATAAAGGTGAACGTGTAATTATTTTTAATGAATATATTTACATAATATTTTACATTAATTTGTAGTCTGCTAATTAAATTATATATAAATATCTTCTGAGAAAAGAAAATGAAGGGGCACAACCATTTTTTTAAAAGAACGCAAATGTTGGAAACCACTAAATCGATGTTAAACATATGTGGTTGCTTAAAGACCATAAATTCAAGTTACACAGTTTAGTAAGTATTAATTTCTTGAACCTGAAAATATTTTTTTTTATTATTTTAAATATTTCAAAAAGTGATGTATGAGGTGTAGTAGGGCTCTATATTTTGAAGTGCATAACAAAAATCCCTATTATTTATCTTAACTAAATTATTTGTACACGGAGAGTGGAAGCTTTTGTATTTAGGAATTATTTATTTGAATGACAATAGAGTATAATAAAGTTAGTAAGCATTAATTTCTTGAATCTGAAAAAAAAACATATTTCAAATTCATATTTGAAAAAGTTATGCAGAAGTGTAGCAAGTCTCTTCATATTTCGACGTGTACAACAAAAATCTATTTATTATTTATATTAACTAAATTATTTGTACAGTGGAAACGTTTGTATTTAAGCATTATAATATTTTTATAACATCTGAATAAAATAGACAAACTTAACGCATGTATTAAAATAAAATTTTATTTTATAATATATAAAGTATTATAATGTATCGTATTAAAAAACGGTTATTGGTATATACACTGTTATGTCTATTCAGCGTGTTTTGCAAGTTTTAAACATAAATATTTTAACTGGTATTTTATTAGATGCTAACTAACTAACATGACAAATTAGTAAAAACAAGAAAACGTTAAAGCATTTGTCAACGGTTTAATTTCATTAAATGTGATATATTTGAAAATTATCTGAATATGAATGTTTTTGAGTAATCCTCAATTTTTTAGCTCGGGATTCTGTGCTACTGTTTAGTTAATAAAAATGTAAAACAATTGAAAGTTAATAAAAACATTTCCTTATCGATTGATAGTCTCTAGCAATCTCAGAGTATGTTTCTAGCTTATATCTACTAATCTACTAACATTTAATCATAATAATTTCTTTATCATAAATATAGTTAACAACCTCTGCTCATTGTTTTGCATAAACAGATCGCTGAATAAATACATTTAAAGCTTATATGCTATTTTTGATTTGCTAGTCCTATAATTATTTGCAATTAAGTAAAAGTATTATTTGCATTATAAAACTTCTTATAACAACTAATATTTTGCTATCAGAAAAATATAAATGTGTATGGAATCAGAAAAATATAAATGTGTATGTGTATCATAATTGTGAACTGAAAATTCTCTAAGTAATAGAAAATAAGTCGTATGTGACACTTTTGACCAGCAGGAATACTGTGTCTGTGTGGCGTTCAAACGATAATTATAAAATCAACTAAAACCCAACAAAAGCTGTACAAACAAAACATCTCCAGCAGTTCGCACCATTTGCAGAATCTCCTCTTCGTCAAAGTGATGTTTTTTTTCTTTTGACCCGCCTCAGAGAGAAAACACATGCCCATCATAAATCGTCGGCTTTTGGCAAAGCATCACAAACGTACCATCAAATTCAAATACACATACCACATCAGGATTGGTTCCTAAAGTTCTTATTGGTGGTTCAGGCTGTTGGATACGCATCTGGCCAATGGTAAAGAAGGTATCATGTTGTAGTTGAAAGCTCTTAGTGGATCAACATGGGTGGCGATTTTTAGGTTTTATTTCATCACCGCACAAGCATCGTGAAAAATATCCTCACGTTTATATAACGAGCTATCTCCCTGTACACTTTCTTGGAGTTGGACAAAGAGACACCGATTGCATACACCGTACTCTGCCAAACACGTTGCAGACGGATATGTTTCTCTCATTTTCACTTCTCTCCAAGTGGGGGTAAAGCCGAGAGGCTCATGCGCCGAAACCTCTACGTTTTCAGGAGCTGCCATTCTATTCTCTACTGCGTTCGCATTCACAGAGCAGCTTTCGAAGGGAGAGGACGTTTTGAAATTTACTTGTGAAATATACCCTTGTGAGTGAAGTCGAACGGATTTTAGTGAAAAAAACTCAGCTTAGTGTTACGTGCAAACGGATACAGTGTTACGATCAAATTATTGTAATTTGAGTGAAGTTTTAATTTTGTAATTTTGAAAATAATGGTTGTGCTTGAAGGTGGTGGTATGTTGTCCACAAACGGAAATCAATATTTGCAACCGGATTATTTAACACCTCTTCCAACAACGGTTAGTATTAATTTAATAACGAAGAATGATACCCATATTTTAAAAACGCGATTATTAATAATCATATAAATGCTGCAAGTGTTTCTAACAACTTCAAACAAAGTTAACTTTTTTTTGTTTTAATTCAATTTAACATTTTCTGTAATTATATTTATTTGTATTATTGAATAATGCTATATTATTAAAATGAGACTTAGGATTTTTTCAATTTTTTTTTTATTATTGCAATGTATACACAGTACATTGAGCTTGAATTTTTAGCTTAATGAATTTTATATAAATTGCTAAAATAATCTTGAATTTGGAATGAGACTCTAAATTTGAATATCTTTTTTTTTATTATTTATTATTTGATTAATGATTTCAATTAGTTTATTCTGATTTTTAACCATCAATTTTATTTTAATTACAGTTGGATGCCAAAAAGAGTCCATTAGCGTTGTTGGCGCAAACTTGCAGTCAGATCGGAGCTGACACATCTCCGAGTGCTAAATCACTCCTGTCATCTGCAAGTGATAAAAATTCATCTTCATCAAATAGCAAGAAATCAGAGACTAGATCTTCGCCAACGAGCAAAACATCAACACCTATCAATGACAAATCGCGCACTAGTCCGTCTATTCCACAAACTGAAAGTAAACCGCTAGCATTTAAACCATATGAAACGAATGTGTTGACAAAAAAATCTGACGAAACCCGTCCACCGTCATCGTCATCCAAAACCAATGGATCGCCTGAACAAGAAGATAAACGTACGCCGTCCAGGAAATCGTCTGATGATGGTTTGAGATCATCACCTGATCGTAAAACTCCTGGATCAAGCCCTGTAATTAGGTCCGGATTAGAAGTTTTGCAAGGCCATAAAGACTCATCGCTTTACAAGCCTTTGTCTGGTTTATGTTGTCCACCCGGTTTGGATGCTAATCCTGCATTCAGGCCTCCTTTCTTGGGCCCATATCCGACCACCACGCAACCTCAACCTTACTTGAGTTACGCGCGAGTTAAAACAGCAGCCGGCGGTGAAGCTTTAGTTCCAGTGTGTAAAGATCCTTACTGCACAGGATGCCAATATAGTCAACATAATCCTTTATTGGCTGGTGCTGCTCAACACAATCCTTTACTTGCTGGTTCAGGACAACCTGCGGCATGCCCGGCGGGTTGCGCACAGTGCGAACACCAAAAACAATACGGTCTAGCAGTTGCCATGTCTATACAAAATGCAGCAGTCGCTGCATCATACGCTCAACTTACGAAACCATACGTCTGCAATTGGGTTGCCGGAGACGCTACATCATATTGTGGTAAAAGGTTTGGCAATTCTGAAGAACTTCTGCAACATTTAAGGACACATACGGGAGCGACACCAAGTGACGTTGCGAGCTATGCATCTGCTTTGCATAGAGCTGGATATCCAACACCCGGACCTCTGAGTCCTTTATCTGCTGCCAGGTACCACCCATACGCCAAGCCGCCAGGTTTGTTGCCTGGGGCGCCTTTGGCGAGTCCGTACGGCGCCTTCGGTCCGGCCGCGGCACTTGGCGCCTATTACAATCCCTACGCTTTGTACGCGGGTGCCCAAAGGCTAGGCGCCGCCGCACACCAATGATAAGTTTTGTGATAGCAGTGATTAAGAATTAAACACGTCCAAATCGAATGTATTTAAGAAAAACAGTGCAATTATTTTTGAATGGAGACAGGAATGGATTCAATTAAGAATGTGTTGAACATATTATATATTGTGAATGATTTAAATTTTAAATTTGGTTTACATGTTATAGAAGTGTGAATGATATTATTTATAATATATTGTGAATATTTATATAATTTAATATTGATATATACATTAAATTTTGGATTTAAATGGAGAAAAATGATCTGAACTGAACATTTGTGATTATAGGGCGATATGCCCGATTATATTTTTATTATGTTTAAGGTTCATAAAAAGTTATTATACGTACTTTTATATTACATAGATCTTTTCTTTTATGATTTTGTAAGCTTTAAAAAAACAATTTGTTTTTCATATATATTTTATACACAAAAATGTCCTGTATGCTTATTTTTTTAATCCAACGAAATAAAAGAACAAATAAACGTAAAAATAACTACATTATGAACCCCAATAAAATATAATACTCCTGTGTAACGCGGTATGTCGTGTTCCCATTGTAATTTTATGTAAATATGTATAATTTGAAAGCTCGTATATTGCTTGTTCTATTTTCTTGTATATAAATGTACATATTATGTATATAAAATGTTGAGTTTCTCATATCGCTTTAAATAAAACAAAATATATATAGCAATTCTTGTCATTTTTATTGTTGGTTAAATGGTTGTGATAAATTATTTTCAGGGGGTCCGCCGATGAATACTGGGTAATAGGCAGTTGGATATAAATGTACATAATATATCGTTCGCATAACGAAAAATGATACTTTGACAGTGAAATATTTTATGAAGATGATTTGATAATATAGTATGGAAATTGTGGTCTAGTCGATAACATTTCGAATGAAATAAATTCAGTGAATATATTAAACTTATACATTATGCTTTCAAATACAATGAGACATGTTTATTATTCTATAATAATATAACCTGAGCTTCATCAGTATTTTGCATCAATTGTGTTCATTTCATTCTGAGCCTTATAAGAATAAGCTAATTGCTTTATACGGATGATAAGTGAAAAATCAAACGTGATTCACACCAGAATCAAGTATGTAATGGATTCTTATAAGATTATCTTGCAATGGATTCTTATAAGATACGTTAACAAGAAAACTTACAAGACAAATATGTAATAACAATATTTATAATATTTTAAAACATAATATAAACGTTTATGATCATAATTTTCTTTTTTTAATTATTTTGAAAACATATCACATTAAAATTTAAAGTATCATCGAGTATGGTGCCCCGCCTTATAATGAATTGTGTTTGATCTTGAGTTTATCTGCTTGATAAATTATACTATTTTGTTTTCTTATCACTTAATAATATTATAATTGAAAATTATAAATTTATATCAACCTTGTCTAATCAAAAAAATTAGAAGCTCATAGTAACTAATTATAAAAGTCGTTGAATACTTTGATTATCCAAGCGAGCATAGTATATATGTAGATAGAACAGGATTTCAATGATCCATGACAGCTGTCTGTCACAGTACATAAACATAGAAGCTCCTTGATATAAATCAATTCTGAACGGAGAGTGATATTACTTTTCTAAATTAAATTAATTTGTCTCAGAAGTTCATTTGAATGTGTGAGTTGATTTACTGTGCTTCAGAACGATGGGATTGTGTATGATTTTATAGTTGTTTAACAATTTGACTGTGATTGACGAATATACTCGACATGGAGAAGTGGCAGATTTTTGTGTATTGACGAGTATATTCGTCGTGCGAATAAAACAAAATATATTCTGAAATGTCAAATTGTTTAGAATATTTTAAAGTATAAAATAAAATACCCGACTGTAAAAAATAAGTAAATGTAAGTGCCATTTTACCCCAAGGCGAGCTGCATGAACCACACAAAATGTGGAAATAAATAATAACTAGTGGTGTTTGGCATCGTGCTTCAAGGCAAATTGCTGGAACTTCTCGTATGTTAATGAAATATTCGAGAAATATTAGATGTTTTCAAATAGATAGAAAGATAAAATAATTTCTGAAAATTAAAAAAAATCCTTTCTACAAAAGCAGTCGTATCGTCAACATAAGCAAAAATCTTTCAAATCGGTTGTATAGTTCTCTTAAAAACTGCCATTTTTTGCACGGTTAGCTCTATATCTCCAAAACGGCTGGACCTGCCTTTGCCAAAAAGTAATCGCCACTTCTCTCTATCATTACGATTCGAATGTTTTTGGGATCGTTTAAATAATTTTGGATCGGTTGATTCGTTCTCTTAAAAACTGTCATTTTTAGCACTTTTTGCTCCATATCTCCGAAACCGCTGGACCTGCCTTTGCCAAAAACAAATCAGCACATCTTCCTCGATCAATAGGAATCGATTGCTCTTTGAATTTTCCAAATCGGTTTATCCATACGCCCGAAATCGTCGACGAAAAATTCTCTCCACACATATACACACATTCACACACATCAATTTTTTCTGAGGTATGCTAAAATGTTTAGAAAAATCTCTGAAACGTGAAATATGCTAAAATTTTTATTTCCGATTTTTAGCCCATTACTATAACTTACCATAGGGGAAGTATATATAGAATATATATAATTGTAGAAAATCACATTTTCTACAATTTATTGGACAATGCTGCAATTTGTAATGAAGTAGTAGAAAAAAATATATAATATTATTAATATTTAATGTAAATACATGTAATATACGAATTTATAGTTTTGTTTCAAATATGTAGATCAATACTTGTTCGAAAAATTTATGTAATGAGTTAATAATTATAAATATTTTTGCAATATTTAACTATTCAATTTAAACCCGATCATCTTTACTTTCTAATCAATGAGTAGTACTATTAGAATGCAAAATGTTGAACCAAGCGCTTAAATTGATAAAGCTACCGTGACGTATGGCGCGCGGTCTATTTTTTAAAACTTCAATTAATTTTTATAATTAAACCACTTCTCACAGTTCTATAATATTCTAATCTGTTTGGTTTGACGATCAACTCTATCATCATGAGAAGTTTCATCAAAATCCCAAAAGAGTAAATCTGAGGTTCTCCTTGTCAGTGAAATATTTCGCAACTACTGACTGAATAAAGAAAGTTCGATAAAAGATCAATGCAGCTTTATGATTCTTCTTTTGTAGAGATCTATATAAACGGGTATGTGTGTATTATATATCGCTGAACTCGTTTGCTTTTATTCGATTCCGCACATGATAAATTAAACATATTAAAGCTGTGAGTATTACTCATTTCGTTCAGGATCACCTTCGTTCCGCTTCGCGTTATGAGATTTGTATCACAACAAATGTACAAGGATGATGTATTTATTATTTATTATTTATTATTAACGCTTTTCCTTCGCTTAATCTTGCCAACGCACGCGATTGTATCGAATTGTGCGTTGCATCAGAGGTCCGCGCGGTCGGTATAAAATATAACATATAGTTTATTTATTACGCTTATTACCGGCAATAAACAAGCCACGTTATTAATATATTCATTATAAGCCCGCTCCATTTTATGGCCGCTGTTGCAATAAAGATTATAATTTGTACCATAATTGCGCCATAAATTTAAGTTTCGCGTGTGTGTACGCGGACGGACTGGCGGTGTCGAGCGTTAATACGCATGTATGTATACTTAAAATGAAACAAATACATTTTTAACCATTTGTTATGTATATAAAATTTATTGTATACGCGTCCCGTAGGGTAGAGCGGGGCTAGTTGAGCAAATTTTGACTTAAACGGATGTAGCTCCTCAATGAAAAGTCTCAATAAATTGCTATACGGCTTAATGGATTTTTTGTTTACCGCTTAACAAAAGTGTTAATACTATTTTTGGTATTAAGTAAAATTTAAAAGCTTCAGCTGTTTAAATGCAAAAAGTCAAGTATGCTCAATGTACCCCATAGGTGGGGCAAGTCGAGCACTAAAAAAGTATAATGAAATCATAGGTTCAATGTCGATTAGTGATGAAATAAAATAAGTTTTTAATAACCAGTTCTATATTTATAGCTTTTATTGTCAGAGAAAACAAAACTTATAGTAATTTGCTTTGAATAATTAACCAAGAGTAGAATCAACAAAACAATATCGTATCTTAGGAATTATTTTACCATTAAATTCAGTATTTTTGTTTAAAATCATTATTGCTTTATATTATTACTCATAGACTTAACTTAAATCTTAAAAATAATAATTAATTTCTGGAAGTTAATGGTAATTGTCTTAGTGACAGAACAAGTTTAGCAACTATGATCAACTAACTCCAACTCGGAATTTCAAAATAAAAGTGAGTTTATAAAAAAACCGTGAGAATCATACCCAGAATCTCTGTGCATATTGAAAGTACTATAATTATATGGAAGAATAACATTTATCTGATTGAAAATAAATAACATTTGACTAAACCAGACAAAAACTCGTGATGAATTTCTTTTTTACTTTTCGGTCTCAAAATAAACAAAACGCCCGTGAGTCTCACTCATTTGTCCAGCGGCCACTAGCGATCGCGGGATGTTTATTTCTCCCAAACCTCTATCTTCCCGCCATATAATGCCTAAACGGACGGTGAATAGTTTTCGAGATATTTCGATTGCTCAACTTGCCCCTATGCTCAACTAGCCCCGCTCTACCCTAATTTACAAGCTGATACGATTTAACGCGTTTTATGCTCGTCAACATGCCGCAAGGTCGTTCCTTGCCCGCGGCGGTTACCGGTACGCCCTTTTCGGCTGATGATGGTCAGCCTATTTCTAGCGCACGCGATATCCTGCGACCTTATGATTGATGGCCGCGGGGCAGCGTAATTATGCGGGAAAATTATTACACGATTGATTGGAACGAAGTTGCAAGAGAAAATTAATTCGAGTGAGAGCCGTAATTTAGTGTTTGGTTGCGTACCTCAACTGATTGCTAAATTTCTAGCCCGGGAAAATTTATAAGTAATCATTTATTTTATGATGAAATTTATGAGCGTAATTAAAATTTATATATGCCAGGATTATTTTTACTTTATAC